AACCCTAAACCCTAAACCCGACTACGGTTCCTACATTATGGCCGAGGCCAGTGGTTGGTCGCTGCCCTGAAGGCGCGGCTGAGGCTTAGAAGCCTCCTTCGCGGAGGGAGCTGCTGGCTCGAAGGATTAGAATTATGAATAGTAGGGGTTCAGGGTTTAGGAGTTTAGGGTTTAGGGCTTAGTGTTTAGGGTTTAGGGTTTGGGGTAACACTAATGACACTAGCAATAACAGATGTGTTAGTAATAATAATCACACGAATGAAAATAATCACGGTACGAGCAGTAATCGTAAGAAGAGTACTGATAGAGAGAGCAATTACAAGGACTAATCGTAGCAATCAACAGTGATAGCAAGAATGGTAGCAATAGGTTTGAGGGAACTGGCATTAGGGTTTAGGGGGTTCAGGATGTTGTGCGTTTGGAGCTTACAAGGCAAACCCCCCAAAACCCCTGCGCCAAGAATTCAAGCCTCCGTATTCCAGGACCCTTAAGGGAAACCTTACAGGATCTCCAGTCTTTTCAGGGTTTGGGGTTGTAGGGTTTTAAGACCACGAAGATTATCCAGATCTTCAGGATCTGGGGAGTGGCGCTTGTTTGACTCGGCCTCATCTGGGGTTCTGAAACCCTAAACCCCAAGCCCTAAACCCTACACCTTAACCCTAACTGTCGTCTCCTTAAAGGGTACTACTTGAGGTTTCAGAAGCCTACCTACAGCTGAGTTTTACTGAGTTTCAGTCTTGGTTCGTAATGGAGGGGCTTCAAAAATTCAGAGTAGGCTGTTTGGGTATGTTCTAGTATGACAATGAGACGGAAATTTAAGGAACGGTATTTGCAATGTGTTTGGGTGTTGGAGGGAGGGGTAGCCCGAGCTCTATCTCTCAAAGGCTGAAACAAGCTTTCTTGCCAAAGCCCGATATAATCCTTGCGGCAAACCCTGTTTGTGCAGAATGTGGATCCCCAACGGGTCCCGTTTAAATATTTAGGCCATCGTTTTAGTCATTTTTGCTACCACCATTTGTCGGCATTTCTACATGTGTGATCATGTTTTCGTCAACCCACCTTTCCATCTAAATTTGTGTTCAGCATCCATGTTAATGCTTGGATGCCTCAATGCGAGCACAGGGAAATTGAAGCCGAATGCAAGGAGAGGCGACAACAAGAGCAGTACACCACTTGAGGCAATCCCTGCAGACTGGAAGAACCGTATGGGAGTGAAGCCACACTCGTTGCTGTGTCTTTGTTGTTGAGTTTAAATGTACGGCCAAAACATCCTGGAGTTAGAATACTAGAAATCGCGAAGGGCGACAAGCCTAAACCCCGAAAGCCCAACACCCCAAAATTGCCAACCCTGGCAAATCCCAGGCCCGAGCTCTGATTCTCTAGCCTGTACAGGAAATGTGGATGATTATGGCTTGATCTTCGACCAGCCACGCTGCGTCATCGAGGTGATCCTATCGAGCTTTCGGGTTCAAGAGTTCGGGCTTAAAGAGGTTTGATTTGGGTTGCTTAGTTTGGTGGTTTTGGGGTTTAGGGTTTTAGGGTTTAGGGTTTAGGGTGTAGCCCGCGTGAAGCTGTCCGGAAATAGCAGGGAGATTTAAATAGCAAGATTGGCCTGTGTCATTCGAAGCCCTGCGCTGCTCGGCGGCAGGATCCGGATTGCCCACTTCCCGAGGAAGCACCAGAAGGCTGGGAACGGATCATACCCAGAGAACTCAATACCCCGTAATGAAGGAGTATACCTTAAATCATAATATTAAGCCCTCTATATCTTAAGGCATATTCCTGAATTAAGGGGGAAAAAGGGTTCTCTGGGTAACACCCTAAACTCCTATAACCCTACATCGTGAGACCCCTGCGAAGCCCTAAAGCCCTGACTGCTACTTTGGGGCTCAATGCGGATCGAGGGGGCATGGAATGGCTAAGCACTCAGTAGCTGAATTACTACACTTTAAACTTTTTGGGATAATAAGGTCCCTTATAGAACTGAAAGTGTACACTTCTTTTTGCTTATGAACTCAGCAACTACCGTTAGTTGAGCAGCAGATCAGTTCCGACAGTGCTTCGTAGAAGGATGTGAGGTTCTACTACTACCAATAATAACAATAATAAAAACGATAATAATAATAATAATAGCAATAGCAATAGCAATAGCAATAGCAATAGTAATTATAATAATAGCAATAATACAAATAATAATATTACTAATGATAACGAAAAACAATAAGAATCAGAAGAATATGAACAATACTAATAGTAATATTACTGTTATTATTAATACGAACACCACTTTGTCAAGCAAAATAAATCCCCCCGCAGTGCCCATATGTTTTTTTTGCATCGGGGTGCCCTCATTAAAACTGAACTGTAGGAGAAAGATTACCCTTTTTGTTGAGGCGCTTACTACGTCACTACGTACGCCTGAAAAAAGACGAAACAGACTTGGGATCCTACTGAGAACCCATACATTATTCAAGGCACATTCGTGAGCTAACTGTTTGGTATTTGGGATTCGTGGGATCGCACGGTGTCGTGGGTAAAGGGGCTCAGTCTTAGGGTTGAGAGTTTTCCGAGTTTTTGGTCGGTTTGCAGCTTCTCGGAGTTTTCAGACTTCGAGGACGCACCCCCCTTCATAAGCCCTAGGCTGAAGCAGCTTCGCGAGTGCTTCGAGCTTCTCAGTAAACGCCTTCTGGATGGGATTGAAGGCTTTACATGGTTGTAGGCATTTGTCCGGTGCTACTGGGCTTCAGGGTTAGAGGTTCCCTGAAGCCAAAACTTGAAGGTTCCGACCTCAAGCCAAAGGAGCCGGGATGATATGGCGTCCAAGCACTTCACGTCAGTTTTGTAGGGGTGTGAACCATTTAAAACAAAAAAGGCTCCTGAGGGTTCCTAATCTCATTTTTGGAAACAAGGAGGCGATTCCCATCCACATGACTATCATCCAGTAGTCTATCGTATGCCAGCGCTGCCCGCATTCATAGTATGGCTATTACCCTAAACCCCTGAACCCTAAACCCTAAACCCTATCCTTCCTCGGAATCACAGCGGCCCAGAGCTGAAGGTTTAGATGAGGCTGCAGGTTCATTTGAGAAGGGCCTTGGGGAGTGGGAGGGGGTCTTTAACCCCAAAAAGGTGAGGGGTGAGGGGGTGTTTTTATAACTAAACCCTAAGACCCTAATACCTTAAGACCCCAATCAGGTCAGGGTTTTGGGGGTTTTGGGGGGTTTTTCTAGGCTGGCTTCGAGTCTCGGGCGGCGGAGCGACGACTTTGGGGCTTTGGGGTGTCGGGACTTGGGTTTCAGAGCTTTGAGGTTTAGGGTTTTAAGGTCTAGGGATTCGGGTTTAGGATTTAGGGTTTAGGGTTTAGGGTTTAGGATGTAGGGTTTAGGGTTTTCGGGATTTTCGGGATGTTCGGGGCTTGGGCTTTAGGTAAGTAAGCTTTTCCGCCCCTGCAGTGACAGGCTACGAGATTGACAACGGGGAGTTCGTTTGCGCAGATGGTTATGTAGGCCGGTCTGCTTGTGACTGCAGATTTGTGGTGGGGAGTCTCCAGGAAAATAATTGGAGTAGGGTTTGGGGGTCCACTATGCTATAATTATGAGACGGAGCCCCCCAAAACCCTATTCTACGTATTAAGGCCCCTATAGTAGGGTTAAACTCCTGCGACCCTGAAAGCACACAGCCCATATCGCGCAATATGTCCTCAGAGTCTATGCCCGCAAACCCCATTCCAAGTATCAGCAGCCCCATAGTACAAGGATCACCCAGTGGCATGGGCATAATTCGGACTTGTGGAGTGCTCAAACCACAATCCCGAAAACCAAGGAAATTGCTACCCCCAAGTTGGCCCAAAGCCTTTAAGCCAAAACCCTAGACCTAAACTCCAGCCCGAAACTCTAAACAGCCCCAGCCGAAACCCAAAACCCAGCCCCTAAACTCCCGGAATCCCAAAAAGCCCGAAACTTAAACAGCCCGGACCGAAATCCTAAAATGAACTCCGAGAGCACCTGTAAGGCGACTACGTGCTGAGCCGCTGCGGACACGACAATAACTGCAATAAGGCCACCCGAAAGATTTTCGAAACGATGGATATTCTGTTTTTACCATTGAACTTCGCCTTAGAGAACCATTATATATGGGAGTTTCCAATAATAAGGGGGTACCTTATTTTGGGGTTCTTATAATAAGGATCCTACTATTTAGGGTACTACATTAGGGTCCCCTATTTTCGGAAACCCCCCATATCAGTCAAAAAAGGAATGGAATATGTTTGGGTTTGAATTGGCAGCCTTCCCGGAACGTTCTGTGACAGGTCGAGATATTCGTGGAGAGTTGGGGGCTTTCGCGTTCGAGTTAATCTAAGGGCCTCAGTGATTACCGATTCTATTTTGGTGGTTTCTTTCTAGAATTGTGGTTTAAGAAACCCCCCGAAACCTGTTCCAATGGTTAGGGCCCCTAAAACCCTAAACCCTACAGTAGAGGTTTACAGCTTTGAGATTCGGTGCATGGCTGCTTTGCGCCAACTACCCTCGATTATACCCTAAATACCCACTATTAAGGACCATAAGGGCTCTCTTCAAGGGTGCTTGGGGGGTGCTGGTTTAGGACTTTAGGACTTTAGGGTTTAGGGTTCTTTGGGCAAGGCGTTAGGACTTTAGAGTTTCGGGGTTTCGGTTTGGGGTTTGGGCGTGGCGTTGCGCCTCAGGGATGTAATTTCACCCTTAGGGTTTATTAGGGTTTAGGGGTTTAGGGGTGCTTGAGGCGCCAATGCCCCAAACCCTCGAACCCCTCGCAGGAAATAAGAGACAGGCTAAGCTGCGAACCCTCTTGCCCAAAACCTTGGCCCTGAAAGTCGCGAACGAACATAACAGTAGCTCCTATTATAGCAACCCTTATAGGTACCCTTTCGGGTACCCTTATGGAAACCATTAGAGAGCAATCCGAAAACCTTGATTTCTAGACCCGCATCCAGCGTTTTGCAGGCCTTGGACCCCATCGGCTGCACGCCGACTGTGCCCTTGGATCGCATTGCTCGAGCGTGCGGCGGGATGCGGGTCCAGGTTCTCTCGGAAGGTTGATGGGTTTTTTCGCCAGGAGTTCAGCCCTAAACCCTAAAACCTAAACCCTAAAACAGGGTATGGGTTTCGGGGGTTTAAGTTGGAAATTCGGCGTAGTGGTAGCAGGGGGAGGCCGAGCATCAACCCGACAGCTTCACGCTGCTTTTCCAAGAGTTTCCAGAAGTCCTCGACGCGACAGAACATACCAAAAATGGTCACACACACACACACAGCCTGAAAAAGAAGAAAGCACCCAAACCCTAACCCGTGACTTCAACAGGGCGTCTCTTTGTTGAAGTGTGCTTAAAATGTTACAAGCCTTGGAGCTACAAACCCCACAGCCAAGCTTCTGGGTTTGCAGCCCTAGACGTGAGGATGTGGACTTTGGACTTACGATGTTAGTAGTGTCAGAATCATGATTATGACCCCTAAACCCTAAACCCTAAAATTATTACTGCTACTGTTGCTTTTGGCATTGTCCTCTCTTTATTTTCTGGTTTGAGTTTTGACCCACGGTCTCTGACTGAGGTTTGGGGGCCTCAGCGTTGGTCCAGAAACCGGAACTCCGCGACAGCCAGAAAGACCTAACTCGCTATCTCCCCAAACGGAAACCCGAAACCTTAAACCTACGAAACCGCTGGACAGCCGGCGAAAACGAAAGTCCACTGCACATCAAAAAAATCACCATAAACCCTAAACCCTAAACCTTCACCGTTCAACCCCAACACCCCAAAGCCGGAAACCCGCTGGACAAGGAACTGCGCGCCGCTGAAGATCGACCCATGTGAGCGCGACAACGTCGCCAGGGCCCCGCATGTCACTTACGGTTGAATTTAGAGGCCTGAAGAAATTAAGGATAGATGTTCCTGAGAGTTCTTGAGTTGAATGAGCCGGTTACGTCTCCTATGTTCGGGCTTACAGGGCTACATGGGGGTTCTAGAGCACTCTTTCTGGGATCCTTGCTGGCAAAGGTTTAGGGCTTGGGGTTGAAGCTCCACAAAAAAAAGAAGTCTCTTCACATCAAGAATGTCTTTGTTGTAGTTGTTGATGAGGGCGTGGGGAGGGCGCAGCAGAGGGGGGTGGGGCCCTTGTTTGACGTCTACATTCGAGCCTTTTTTCTGAAGTTCCCAAATGAGTCTAAGAAACACCTGCACTGTAAGTCCAAACCCGCGAACCTTTTTGGGGAGGCATACCCTCTACTTGGAGCTTCATGGGCAGTTATAAATGGGGGGGTATAATCAGGGTAACTATACTTATAAGCCATATTCGGGGACTTATAACCCATTTATATATAGCTACCCATGAACCTCCAAGTATCCCAAGAAATCCAAAGCCTCTAAGCTGCTTGGGCTTTCAGGCGGCTCTGCGGTTGTCTCCAGAAGTCTGAGAGTTCTTGCTATGTCCCAGAGACTCCATAAAACCCCTTAGTTAAGGAATATTACCTTAAATCATATTCGGGTTCCTTTTTATAGTTTACGGAATATACTTTAAAATCATATCAGGGTTCCTATTATAGTTTAAGGTATATTCCTTAATGAAGGGGTTTTGGAGTCTCTAGGGTTATGTCAGCCCAGGATGTCCAAGGGCCTTCGGGGAAGTGTGGCCCAGGACTTCCTTTTTCTGGGACCCAAGCCCAAAGCCCTTTAACCCGAAATCCTAAACCCGAAACCCCAAACCCTGAACCTTTAAGCCCCAAACCCTAAGCCCCAAGCTCTAAACCCTAAACTCTAAGCTCTAAACCCGAAGCCGTAAGCTCTAAACCCTGAACCCTAAACCCGAAGCCGCTAAACCCTAAACGTGTGAGTGAGCAGGGCCTATCCCCCCGAGCCTAAGCCCGCAGGCTGTAGGCAGCTTCTCGCGAACCTCAGAATTCCAGGGGTCAAGGTTCAGACAAATCGTTCAGTACAGGGTTTAGGGATTAGGGAGTAGGGTTTAGGGTTCAGGGCTTAGGGTTCAAGGTTTTTGTTTCAGGGTTTAGGGTTCAGGGTTTAGGGCTTAGGGCTTCGAGGCCTTAGGGTTGAGGCCAGTCAACCAGTCGTCCTCCAGCTGGAGGCTTTGCTCATGAAATTTGTTGCCAAGATGTATTGCCAGGGCCCGATGCCCCTGAAGGCATACAGCAGAAGTTGATACAGCGGACTGATTAGAATAGGTTTTATTGCAGCTTTGTGGCATATTACCCTAAATTAGCAAGAAAATGGGACTAGAAGTGTTACTGAGGTATACTATCATCCACTATAAGTGTTACTGAGGTATACTATCATCCCAACCCTACATCAAACTCAACTCGGACAATGTTTAAACCGCTGAGGGCTGCTGGGACGTGCAGGCGCTGCGGACTCTCACGGGGCTTGTGTGAGTGTTATGAGGTTTGGATGAGTGTTATGGGTTTGGGGGTTAGGATGCCTTGACCTGGTGACGGGGTTATGGGCTTAGGGCCGTTTAAGGTTTAGGTTTTGCATAAGTTCAACCTTCAGAGCTGGTTATAGTAGATGACTTTTGATAGGGGGGTTGCTTTAAGTAGACATACTATGTAGGCTCACGTTCCAATTCGTCACCCGGGTTGCTTGAGGTTTCGGACGGCGTGCACCGGTTGAACTCACGTGTCAGTCGAGTTTCATAGATTCCCTGACGATGGCATCAACCCTAAATAGCCGGGCTGAAAGAACCTGCATGTATGGCTTTCTGGCTAGAGCCCGTTAGCCTACCATAAAACCAACCTTTGAACAGTCAAACCTACGAGGCATTTGAAGCTGAAGTTTCTAGACTTACAAGCCTCTACACTGCACACCCTTTGAGCCTAAACCGCTGGAGGATCCCATAGCTTAACGCTTTACATTTTGGTACCCTTGTACTCCCTCATGGGCCTTACAATCAGGATGGCACGGTTTCCCGGGACCAGTGTGGTTGAAAGCATCCTTCAATCATGAGCACTATGGTGATGCTCGAGTTGGCCATCCCTATCGTCGTCGTCGTCGTCATGACGACCCCCAGACGGCACGTCTCAGAGGCCTACCGGCATACTGAGCTTACAGGTATCTAGACTGGAAGACCCCGAGCCTCAGGCGCAGAAGCATAGGCCGGAGACTGCCCGACAAATAGCGACAAGAGGAACCCCGAAAAGCTTCCTACTGCAGCGCACCTGAACCCTGCAGCGTATAATTATGCACCTTGCTGATCCCAAATGGGGCTTTCCGAAAATAGGGGACCCAATACAGTACCCTAAATAGTAGGATCCTAATTATAAGGGCAAAATAAGGTACCCCGATTTTCGGAAACTCCCAAATCTAAAGCCTAAACCCCTCAGAATTCCCTTCGCCAGGCGGGCGGGAGTTGCTTCATCCAGTGCAAACCGCCCTACTTCGGCACTCCCACCCTGGCACGGTGCCCCGTGGGGCACCCAGCACATTCTCACAGAGACACCAGGGCTGTACCCAGAGAACCCAATACCCCTTAATTGAGGAATCCTTAAATCATCGTATTACGGCCCCTATAATTGAAGGAACATTCCTTAATTAAGGTACGCGTCTGGGAAAAAAGCCACCTTGCTCGCTCAGGTGCTCATCGTCGCATTGCTGCTCCAGGGGTTGGGGGTTTAGGGAGCCCTAATACTTATGACAATTTGTCAGTGTTGCTGCGACTGTGATGAGGACGCCAGGACAGTTACTCTCTACTTAGTTATACTGATGGTTAAATGTTTACGTGATAGCGATGTCAAACATCAAGATAACTCTTCATAATAATGGTGAAGGTCTTTTGCGCCCAACAAACTAGTCACGAAATCGTGACTTGTTTTGCTTCTGCTACACGACCGCTAGGGTAGGTCAAAACATGCGATCTCACTGCGCCTGCCACATATTTCTACACTTGCCTCAACCCTCCACTGCCAGGTTTTGCTTCCGGGGTGTTTTTTT